TAGATGTTGGTTTTATTCACAGAACTATAAGACAACACATGATATTAAAATGTAAACAAATACATCAATTAATTTCCTATAAATGTACTCTTCTATCTCAATTTTTAAGGGTGTGTCTTGATACTTGTTCCTAAAAGAACATTTCAATGTTGATATTATTCACATAACTATAAGACAAAAAAACTTATTGAAATGTAAAAATTGAGAAAAAGCTTATTAAGATACACCGCCCCTAGAGGAACACATTGCAGTTGTTTTGACTGAGTTTGATATTCAGAAATGTGAATAAATAAATTTAAAATACACAGAGTCTGACATTTAAACTTCAAAGGGTGTGTCTTGCTGCTGGTTCATAGAACCACATTTCTATGTATCTTTTAATTTCATAAGAAAATTTGGATACACGCTATTGAATCAAATTCAAACCGATTAAAATATAATTTTGGTAAACACACAGCATTTTATCTCATCTTCAAAGGCTGTGTCTTGTTACTGGTTCGTAGAATAACAGGTAGACATCGGTTGAATTTGCATAGAATAACAGTTAGACATCGGTTGAATTAACACCACATGCTATTGAAATGAAATGTAAACACATACATCAATTAATAAAAAATACAAATACTCTTTTATTTCAGCTTTATGGGGCGTGTCTTGAAATTGTTTCCTATAATGACATTTAGATGTTGGCTTTATTCACAAAAGTGTAACACAACAAAAGCTATTGAATTGTAAAAACTGAGAAAGAGCTTTGGAAGCTTCCCAAAGAGTGTGTAGTACACCGCCCCCTAGAGGCATACACTGCAGTTGCTTCGACTGAGTTTGATATTCAGAAATGTGAATAAATAAATAAAAAATACACAAAGTCTGACATGTCAGCTTTAAAGGGTGTGTCTTGTTACTGGTTGATAGAACAACATTTATATGCTGGTCTCATGCACAGAACTATAACACAACACACAATATTGAAATGGCAACAAATACATCTATTTATTTCTAATAAATACGGTCTTCTGTCCCAATTCTAAGGGGTGTGTCGTGTTACTGGTTCATGGAACAACATCTACATGGTGGTTTTATTTGCGAAACAGCAACACAGCAAACACTATTGAAATGTAAGGATTGAGAGCAAAAAGCCTTTCACAGATTGTGCAGTACACCGCCCCCTAGAGGAACATGTTGCATTTGTTAAGACTGCGTTTGACATTCAAACTTTTATAAATTAATTTAAAATGCATACAGTTTTTTCAACTTCAAAAGGTGTCTTGTTAATTGGGCCAAAAAGAGCATTTCCATGCAGGTTTTACTATTCAAATCTGCTAATAAATTCATTTAAAATGCATGCAGTTTTCCAAATCCAAAGGGTGTGTCTCTACTGATTCCTAGAAGAACATTTTGATGGTGGTTTTAGTCACAGAACTATAATTGAACACATACTATAGAAAATGAAACCAATTTAGTTTAAAATAAATACAATCTTCTACCTCAGCTTCAAAGGCTGTCTTGTTACAGATTTCTCAAAGAATATTTTCCAGTTGTTTTCGCTGTCAAAAGAGATGTCACGCTATTGACATTCAAGGATAGCTTGCGAAACCTTCCAAAGAGTCTCCAGTATTACTGCCCCCTAGAGGAAGATACTGCAGTTGTTTTGATTTAAATTGATATTTAAACCTTTAATAAATTAATTTAAAATCAATACAGTCTTCTATTTCAACTTCAAAGGGTGTGTCTTGTTTCTGATTCCTAAATGAACATTTTAATTCAGGTTTTACTCTCATATGCAATTCAGGACACATGCTATTTAATTTAATTACAAAATTTAATTAAATTATTTTCTTTCTTTTTTTGGATAGCTGTTCATGAGTCTCTTATTTATCCTGAGCAGTTAAACTGTCCATTATTCTTCAGAAAAACTCTCCAGGTAACATGGGAAACATATAGTTTTCTTTTGAAGCTTCTGACATAATTCGGCTATTAATTTGTCTTGTGGACTAAATGTAAACATCTTTGATGCAAAATATCTTACTCAAGACAGTACTAAAAAAAATAACATGCATTTTGTGTGATCCCTCTTACAAAACATTAAAGTGTTTTTAAAGAAACAAAATGGACCCTTTGAAAATGAGCTCGAAAATTGAATTTTTTATTAATTGATGTATTGGTTAATCAGCTTAATAAACAATTTAATTGGCTATTCAGTTTCAATTGCATGTGTTCTCTCATAATTCTGTGACTAAAACCAACAACTGCAGTATCTTCCTCTAGGGGGCAGTAATACTGGAGAATCTTTAGAAGGTTTCGCAAGCAATTTTTGAATGTCAATAGCATGACTTCTGCATCTTTTTGACAATGAAAACTACTGCAAAATGTTCTTTAAGAAATCTGTAACAAGACAGCAGATTTTCAAACTCGTCAAAACAACTGCAAAACAACACTCTTTTGCCAAATTGTTGAATTGCAATAGCATGTTTTCTGTTATAGTTCTGTTACTAACACAAACATAAAAATGTTCTTATAAAAACAGTAACGAGACACACCATGAGGTTGATACAGAAGAGTGTATTTTTTTTTTTTAATTGGTTTAAATTTCAATAGCATGTACTTTTTTGGTGTCATACTTCTGTGAAAACAACGAGCATTAAAATGTTCTCACAAGGACCTGGAATCAGCATAACCACTGGATTATGGAATGATATTGATTTGTAATATTGTTTTTTATTATATTAATATATTTGTTAATAGTAATAATATAATAATAACCACTATCACATATCTTGTTTACAATATTTCTTATTTAAATTCAAGTGAGCGTTATATGTTTTTGTCTTTAAATCTTTCAAAGACCTTGGTGCACAAATTGCTCTTGTTTTGTTAATTATAAAAACACATTTCAGTGGGAAAACATTAAAGGGGTCATATGATGCTTTTTTAAAGATCATTATTTGGTGTATTTGGTGTAACAGAATATGTTAACATGCTTTAATGTTCAAAAAACACATTATTTTTCAAATACTGTACATTATTGTAGGTCCTCTATGCCCCGCCTCACTCAAACACGTCGTTTTCAACAAAGCCCCTTCCTTTGACAAGCGCAGTCTGCTCTGATTGGCCAGCTGACCCAGTGCATTGTGATTGGCCGAACACCA